TATGAGTAAATCTAACAGGAATAGACAAGATCTATATTGAACTTATTGTATAATTTTATAGAAATATTTTCAGAAACAACTAAATTTTGATAGGACCACTGAATCTAATAAAGATGTCAATTAATCCTAAAATATTTTAGAGATTCAATTCAATTCCAATTAATATCCCAGGTTATCCTATGTTCATTAATGCAAAATCCAAGAGTAGACGTATCACTATTGAAGAAGGAAAAATGGTGAGGTACTTGTCCTACTAATTTTTAAGACCTTTGCTAAAGCTATGTTCATTACAACAAAGTGACATGAGAACATAGACAAATCCGATAAATTGAAAGAGAAAAGATACAGACAGTGAAAAGCCATGTGAATAGATGAAAAAACAGATGAGGTAGCATTGCAGATAAAGTAGGAAATGAGATACTATTAAATAATTACTGCTGTGAAATTTTTTATGCCAATATAAAAACACACACTTGAATCTCTACTGTATATACATCATATGCAGAAGAATTAGGAACTTAAATCACAACCCTCGTGTGCATTAAAAAAATAAGTAAATATATGAGAGTTGATATCAATTTATAAGATTGATTCAGTATATATTTTATTTATTTTTATTTACTCAAAACATTGAGATAAAGTATAAAGTAAGATAACAAAACATCATAAAATTCTAAGGAAAAGTAAGATATCAAAGTCAAAATTCTTAAAAATATACTAAGGAAATAAGGAAAGCAAATTTGTTGATATGTTTCAACTTGGACAATAAACAATTTTATTCAACATAGGTTTTTTAGTGACAACTATTTGCTAGATGCTTTTCTAAGCCTTGAAAATGTTAAACAATCTAGGCAAAACTTCTTGCCATCATGGAGTTTACATTTTAGTGTAGGTGATAGAAAAATGGACAAGAAAGTGTGAAACAAGTTCAAGAATAAACAAGATAAGTGAATATGAAACAAGTTGAAGGAAAAAACAATAATGTTATCTTCTGACAGTCTTTGACCAATATTCTTTTCAGCTAATCCACATTTTCCATTGACTATTTTAGAGTAAAATTAGATCTCTATATATGAAATGTAGGCTGACATTTACAACCACATTTAAAAAAAATATTTGGTTTATAAAAGGAAATGAATGTGGGCTTTTTATGGGGAAATCTAAATCACACTTAGTTGAAGAGGTATTTTTTATGTTAGTGGCTTTTTTTTTTTTTTTTTTGCGGTATGCGGGCCTCTCACTGTTGTGGCCTCTCCCGTTGCGAAGCACAGGCTCCAGACGCGCAGGCTCAGCGGCCATGGCTCACGGGCCCAGCCGCTCCGTGGCATGTGGGATCTTCCCGGACTGGGGGACGAACTCGTGTCCCCTACATCGGCAGGCGGACTCTCAACCACTGCGCCACCAGGGAAGCCCTAGTGGCTTTATATTTAACTGATATTATGTGTCTCTTAAATAAAAGACCGAGAAAAAGAGATAGCAATAGGGAAGAAACAGAACATCTGAATATTCTACTATTTCATTTAGCTCAAATAAGAACTTAGAGTCCTGTGGGAAAGTCACAAAACATACCTACAAGTACAGTTTCTGGAAATAGATAAAGCTGAGCACAGAGAGCTATGGTGTCATATGTAAAGCCCTGCTACATAAATTGATGGAGTGAGGAAAGGATTCTTTTTCTTTGAAGTGCGGGGGGGGGGGGGAAAGTGTTTTTAATTAATTAATTGAGGTGTGATTGGCATATAACATTATATTAGTTTTAAATATATGACATAATGATTCGATATTTGTATATATTGAAAAATGATCACCACAACATCTAGTTAACATCCTTCTTTAAGGATTCTTAAAGAGGTATATTCTGCATTAGGATGGTGAGTTAAAAAACTTAAAAGGCAGGGGAGAAGTTAAAAAACTTACTTGTATAAAGAGACAATATGTACAAAGAAATTCCAAAATCTTTCTCAATGCTAAGCATATATTCACCTTGCATCTGTCATCATGGAACATTTATTGAGGATGTGCTGAATAGTAGTGATGTTTCAGTGACATGTGAAATTGCAGAAAGACATGACATTGCTTTCAGAAAACATACCTTCTAATAAATGGAATAAAACCAACAAAATGAATTTATGCAGAAAGAGTAATTTGAGTACAAAAGTACATGTATAGGTTGCATAAGGACATATTTATCTGACCTTTTAAAACTACTGGATCTAGAAATTTACAATGCTTTGCAAACAGCCTGGGTTCAAGTCATCTAACTGCCACCACTTCCACAAACTATGCAGAAACTAAATTTGTTAAGTGAGAAAAGCCACCACGGCCTAATCCACAGGCCTTCTTGGCCAGTAAATAACAGTCTGGTTAACATGACTGAGCCTGTACTAAGCTCTTCCTGTGTACCATAAGGGAAGAAGGTAGTGAGGCACAATGCAATTTTGTGGTGAGAAACAGTCCTCTGGGCAGGATACTGACTTCAAGCTGCGACTCTAAAAGTAGATGTGGTCAGGGATGTTTACTGGACAGTTGCCTAGAAACACAAGCATATGACGTATGGCCATGACCAAGGGAAACTTTTGTAGTCTTGACTTTTCTGTAAATGTGTTTGGATTAATAAGAGACATGACAAAAAGATTCTAAAATTCACATGAGCAATGAAGTGAATAAATGGGACAGGGAGAAACAGAGCTGAGTCTGGATATGCATGGGCATATTGAAGCAGAAGTGAAATGCTGAGTGATAAAAAAGTGAAAAATCTGCAAACACACTTGAAAAAATATTTATTCAGAACCTAAATATTTATTCAGAACACTTAGTGGGTATTACGTACTGTGCAAGGAACATATAATGCCAACTAGTACATTGTAGTAGGATGAACACAAGGCAGATAATTCATAAATCTTGAACTTCAGCAGGGAGGGAAAGAGAATAGATCACCATCTTGGCAACTAACTGATACTGCTTGACACAGTTTCCTGAGCTTGTAATGGATAAATAATTTCTTGGCCCCATCTCGGCTGAAACCTTCTGTAATTCTAAAAATAAACAATTCTACTGAGATGTCATTTCTTTCACAGAAATATTTTCATTATATTCACTTAGTCCATGCTAGAAAACTTCATTTTTTGTTTAATATCCATCTATATGATTTAAGAAACTGAAAATTTTTCTCCTCCTGTGGTATTAACTTAGAATCTGAGAATAAACAGCCTGTAAATAGTAACTCTTTTCAAAATTGCTCTCAAGTAAATCACATGCATGACTTACAAATTAGAGGACTTCAAATTTCTATTAGCATCCTAGTTATTTTTCTTTGTTTGATTGCTTGTTTATTTGCCATTTGACCTTACATTTCCTGCCACAGCAGTAATCTCCACATTCATGGAAAAAAAGAAAGATGCTATTTACAACTTCTGCATCTTGCATCCAAGTGGATTTTGTGTTTACTTCAGTACTTTAAATATCAAAGAATAGTAGAATTTTGTAAATATCATGAAATTTGGACAGTACTTATCCCAGGTGCCCAAAGACATAGAGTTAGGAATAAGAAAGCACTTTTCCCAAAGAAAAAGGCTCATTAGTTGAAGATCTAGGTAGAACCAAGGTCTCCCAAGTCACCTTTTTTTTTTTAATGCACCTAATAGCAGTTGGTCAAATTCTAATTTATTTATTGCTTCTTCATTTGTTCCCAGTAGATTCATTTGTGTACACAAGAATAAAAACGCATTCAGTTTAAGCTCTACAGTTCTCACATTATCCTCTTGGAGAGTTTGAAAATAACTACTAAAAGCTTACAATGTTCCTTCTGTGGTGTTAGCCCATCTCCTGGAGCCTTTTTATACTGCATTAATTTTTTTCTCCATTATTTTACACAGAATTAACAACATCAAAGCACAACAGAATATATAAATAAACATAGGAAACTGCTGTATTTTCATGAAGGCTGTTTCCTGTTTATTGTTTGAGCTAGTATCTGTTAAGGATTTCTGTGTGTCAAGCATATTGTTTGGCAATGGATATACATAGTTTAATAAAGTATATAGCACAATCCCTATCATCGAATTGTCCACAATCTATTAAAGGTATAAACATAAGCATGTGGTTTTAAATTAATATGTAATTTGCAATGGTAGACACAATTACTGGGTAGTAGACAAGATAGGATTATACATAACAATTTTGCAATGGATTACCAGTATCAACTATGAGGAAATGGTGTTAGGGAAGATGTCCTGGATTAGGTGATTTAGAGGGAGTGTTTTTTAAAAAAATATGTTAGATATCAAGTTGAACGGGGTTAACACATACCAAGAATTGAAGATGGAAATGACAAAGACTCAGAAGAAAGAGACAGTAAAATGAATAAAGAGAGCTATACACACTCCAGTACTGTTGGTTTATTAGGTGGGGTTATGAATATCTGGAGATGGATGGAACCTGGAACAGTCTGGAAGGACAAGAAGAGGGTGTGTGTGAGTGAGAAGAAAGATTCATAATCTAACCTTGAATAGTACCATATAGTCAGTAAAAGCCCTTTGAGGAGTTTTAAGAAAGGATTGACAAGGTCAGATTTCCATACTGTGGGTAGACAATTTGACCTCTTCAGAGGACAATAGATTTGATACAGATGGGGATAAAGAACAAATAAGAAAAATAGTTAGGGACAGTAGAAGTAAATAGTGTTTTTATCCAAAACTGTGATGTTAGGAATTGTGAAGACGACAATAATTGGGAGGTTACTGACATAGTTGATGACATTAGATCTGACAGTAGGTGAAGACAAGAGTGGGGAGAGGGGTCTCCCCTGGTGGCGCAGTGGTTGAGAGTCCGCCTGCCGATGCAGGGGACACGGGTTCGTGCCCAGGTCCGGGAAGATCCCACATGCTGCGGAGCGGCTGGGCCCGTGGGCCATGGCCGCTGAGCCTGTGCGTCCGGAGCCTGTGCTCCACAACTGGAGAGGCCATGGCAGTGAGAGGCCCGCGTCCCGAAAAAAAAAAAAAAAAAAGAGTGGGGAGAGGGATAGGATAAGAAAGATGCATACGTTTTTATTTTTTACTGAAGGAAATAATGATGGTACCATTAATATAGAGGATACTAGAGTAAGCAGTTTAAGGAAGGGGATGATGACCTAATATATAGACATAATAAGGTGTAAAGCCAGTTGGGATTTTTAACCCATTTCTATTTTAAAATACAAATGGACCTCATGGGCCTTAGTTGTATGATTCAAAACACGAAATTTTACTTTCTAAATATCTTTAATGTTAGACAGTTTGTTTAAAAAATACTCTGTGGTTTACAGAATTTTCTCTTAATAAGAAATGTCAAGAAGACAAGTTAAAAAAGAAATTTTCAAAAGTGATGTGTTCTCAAGGTTAATATGAATAATCATTATTACACTAAAACAGGGTTTGAGTGGTGGTTCCCGATGTGATTACAAACCAGAAAGCCAAATATTTCCTTGTAATTAGATGTTGTTTTAGATTATTAAAGACATATATGCTTGTATCTTTAAGAGCAATGACTCACATTTTCAGTCTCAGTGGAGTGATGCAGTCAAAAGAATGAAAACCATCTAAAAAGTACTTGCAAAAATGTGTACCTCATTTCTTTTTTTTAATACTCAGAAGTGGTCAAGCACTAAGTCCATATCAACTTTTCTTCTCTCTTGACCTATTCTTCATCTTCTTTCTCTCTCTTTAGACTCATTGTTCTTTTTATTGTTCCTCACCAACACCATTTATTTCTTTGGTCTTTCTGCTCAGACAGATAAGAATTTTATTTGCCCAGATAAGTTCACTATTTCGTTTAAATTCTGTCAAATATTATCTTCTAGAGTTTCTTTTCCTGAACACACTATTAATATGTTTTATTTCTTAATGTAACTTATTTTTACTTGTATCATTTATTCTAACCTGTTTATTTTGCTTTTTATATTTCTTCCTCACCAGAATATAAACTATGAAAGGACAGGAAGTTTGTCTTCTTCACTGATGTATCTTTAGCACATAAAATAATGTATGGTACATAATAAGTGCTCATCAAACATTAGTTACGAGTTTTATATATTTTCCTTTATTTATTTGACATAATTGTTATGTTACGTAGATAAATATTTCTAGTCTTTTATTTATTGATTAGGGGGTGTACTGGGTTGCCTACAAAGTCTTCTGTTGCTCTAAGTTTATACAAATATTCTGAAACATTTCTAAATTGCCTTATTGATAATAATTTTTGCTTAAAGAATAATATGACAAACACTAATGTACCCACTATCAAGCTTAGGAAATAAATTATGAATAGATGTAAAATTTTTATCTGCTCATTCATAATTTAATTCCCTCTTTTCCCTTTAGAGGATCCCTATTACCTATTTATTTATATCTAATACATACGGCTATGTCTTGCATGTATTTTTAAAAAGGACAAAAACAATGTATAATGTGTATTTTTAGAATTATTTATATTGGCTCAAATTTATATTTTTGACATCCCTTAATATTGATATACTCAATATTGTGCTATTTTATTCACTTTCTTCATAAAATATAGTCTATTCTATGAATATAGGACAATATTTTCACCTATTTTCTTTTCTAAGGATATTCAGATTCTTCCTTTTTTTCCTTTTTATTATCACTCAAACTTCTGCCTTGAATGTTCTTCAATATCTTTCCTTAACCATATTTACAGGAGTGTTTCTTCTAGACTATGTACTTATCAGTTTTGGGGTACTAGTATAAGTATATTCAAAACTTCACAAATACTGACAAATTGCTTTTCAAAACTTGTTATTACTTTCACCCCAAGCAGAAGTACATGAAAACTTCCATTTTTTTACACCATATCCATGATTTGGAATCTACAATCTTTTCATATTTCTAATATCGTGATTACAAAATTTTGTTAGGATGTCTTGGTTTGCCTTTCCATGATAATTACTTATATTTAACTTTTATAATAGTATCGTTAAGGAATATTCAGGTCTAATTCTCTGTGAATTGTCTTTTCACATATTTTATGTTGAATTGGTTGCCTTTTTATGGACTTACATAAGTTCTTTGTATATTCTAGATAGAAATCTATTGTTAAGTGCACCCAGCGTAAATTAGTAAATGTTTAATAACCCACTCTATGGTGGTGGGGAAGATCTCATTGGTAGAGTTTGCCAATTTTATTTGTGTAAGTACTCTGACCATAATCAAATTTAAAGCTACTAACCTGATACCACTGAATGCAGGATTGAGAAGGGAAGAGATTTATAGTAGTACAACATTGTACAGTATTTCAACAACCAGATATGATAGATGCAAATAACTTCATAAGTATAGTAAATTTAGCAAAATGACTAAAAATGAGTTTTGAGTATTTATTACTTTTATTGTTAGTATGATTTACAATATTTATATTTATATAATTGAATTTTAGTAATGATTGTGTTTAATAGCTGGTTTTCAAAATTCCTGAAATTTTAACAATAATCTCTTTTGATTAGCTATGAGCCCGATCCAGCAAACCACTCACTGATTGTATAATTTGTGCTAGTCTGGGTGTATCTTTCCAATCTTAATAATATATTTTACTGTCCAGATAATAATAAATTTACTTATTTAATTATTACTTTATAGCATCATTTGCATTTATGATTTGGATTTTTGGAAATTTGATTGAGAAGTGTATGCTTCACCAAAGGTTTTGAAGCTTGCAACTATATTTTCTGTTAAACTTGTGAGGACTTCTTTCATAATTAGATCTCTGATATTCAATACTTTTCCACAGGGAAATGATTTTTTCCATCACCTTTATTGAATAATCTATTCTTTTCTTAGGATCTGTAATATTACCTCTGCAACCACATATTTATTGTTCAATATATTCATAGACTTTTTTTTTTTCCAGAATTTGGTTCGGTTCCTCAGACTAATGACAAAATATATTCTTCGTGCTCTTCACCCACATTGTCTTGACTATTCTTGGTGTTTTCCACTTTATATGATTTGAAATTGAGTGATACAGAACTCAGTCCCATCTGTGGACCCTGCAGTTGCCTGTGAACCAGCTCCAGTTCCTCCCTCTTTCAGGGAACCTCTGGAAAACAATGTCTTAGACAATCACTCACAGACAAAAGAAACCTTGTGGAGGTCCAGGCTTCCAGAGAAGAAGTTCCACCACACCACTGGAGCAAAGAATATGAGATTGGATGCATTAGAGAAGATAAGAGGAGCAACCTGACTTTACCTACATTACCCTTCCTCCATGGAAACACAGTTTTAGGGCCAAGGGAGACCTTCTTGGCCCATGATTTTTTCCACTAGGAAAAGTAAGAGTGTGAGTGAGCACCCAGCCTTCTCAGCTATATGGGATGCTGCCAAAGAGGCTGATTTGTCTCATGCCTCACCCAGGTGCTGAATCATATGTATAACTGGGGGGCTGAGAAGAGTCTAAGATAGCAGCAAATAGGACTCTAAAAGGGCATTAAAAGGATGCAGATCCTACTAACTGTGTCACTGACTCCATCAGGAAACCTGCCTATGAGCCACTTGGATCCTCCCAACTGGCCCACAGGCGCCCTCAGTAATAAGCTCACCTCACCTCAAAACACCCACACCCTGTAGTTGCCTCCCTGTGGGCACTCCCTACTGTAGCATAGACAGTGAGCTTTGGCAGATGGCTAGTGAGCATGTGCAGAAACCTAGTCTGAATCTGAAGGCCAACAAGAGACCACAAACATGAACTTTAACATCATTTTGTGAAAACAAAAGAAAGGCTTTCAGCACCCAGCCTGGTTCACTGCAAAATTAAGATAAGGTATACAAACTTAAAACTTTTGCCACAAGAGGGAGCACAAAGTGTGGAGCAGGTGCATCCATAAAAGGTCCTAGAAAGCCTCAGAATCACTAGCAGTTTTGATGGAAGGTAATTCTCTCCTGAGGTCAGCGAGTAAATGGGAGAAGGTGGCTACTACTTCAAATACAAAGACAGCAATACAAAACTTCAAGAAGCAGGAAAAATGTCACCACCAAAGGATCACAGTAATTTTCCAGCAACCAACCCCAAAGACATAGAAATCTATGAATTAACCAATAAAGAATTCAAAATAGCTGTTTCAGGGAAGCTCAACGAGCCACAAGAAAAAAAGAAAAATAATTCAACACTGTAAGGAAAACAATATATGAAAAATTATAAGGTTAGCAAAGTGATACAAATCGTAAAAAGAACTAAACAGAATTGAAGAATACAACAGATGAAACGAAAATATAATGGAAGCATCAACACCAAATGGATCAAGCAGAAGAAAGAATCTGTAAACTAGAAGACAAGACCTTTGACATTATCCAGTCAGAGGAGAACAAAGAAAGACCAACTAAAAAAGTGAATAAAGCCTATATGATATATGGCATATCATCAAAAGAACCAACTTGCAGACTACTGGAGTTCCAGGAGGAGAGAGGGACAAGGGGGTGGAAAGTTATTTTGAAAAAATAATGGTTGAGAACTTCCCAAGTCTGCTGAGAGATTTTGATATCCACATTTATGAAGCTCCTGAGTCACCAATCAAAATCAACTTAAAGAGATTCTCTCCAAGACACATTATAATAAAACTGTAAAAAAAAATCAAGGACAAAGAGATAGTCTTAAATCCAGCCAGAGAAAAAGAAGATAGTAACTTACAGGGGAACTCCTAGAGGGCTATGAGATTTCTAAGCAAAACCTTACAAACCAAGAGAGAGTGGGATAGTGCCGGGGAAAAAAACTGCCAAGCAAGAATATTCAACCTGGCAAATTTGTCCTTCAGAATTGAAAGATAAAGATCTTCTCAAAAAAGCAAACAAAAGCTGAGGGAATTCATCATCACTAGATCTGTCTTATGAGAAATGCTGAAAGGGGTTCTTTAACCTGAAATGAAAGGATGCTAATTAGTAACATGAGAACATAGAAAATATACAGGACATTGGTCAAGGTCAAATCCAGAATACTCTAATACTGAAATAGTATAAAGGTTAAAGGAAAAGAATATTAGAAATAACTATAGCAAAAATAATTTGTTTTTAAACACACAATATAAAAAAGGTAAACTGTGATATGAAAAACATAAAAAGACTGAGTAAAAAGGTAAGGTTTGGTTTGCAACTGAAGTTGTTATCAGCATAAAATAGATTGTTATATCTATAGCATGTACTATTTAAGCCTGTTGGCAACCACAAAGTGAAAACCTATGATAGATTCACAAAAAATAAAGAGAAGAGAATCAACACATACCACTATGGGAAATTATCAATTCACAAACAAATGCAGCAAGAGAAAGAGAAAAGAACAAGGAAACTACAAAACATCCAGAAAACAATAAAATGGCTTAAGTGCCTGCCTGTTAATAATTACCTTAAATGTAAATGGATTGAATTCTCCAACCAAAAGACATAGAGTGACTGGATGGATAAGAAAACTGAGACCCAACTACATATATACGTATAGGGGCTCACTTCAGCTTTGAGGATTCACTTAGGCTAAAAGTGAAGGGATGAAAAACGATATTCCACAGAATTGGAAACCAAAATAAAGAAGGGGTAGTGATACTTATAAAAAACAAAATAGAATTTAAACAAAAATGGTAACAAGAGCTAAAGAAAGTCATTGCATATAATGATAAAAGAGTTATTCATCAAGAAGATATAACAATGCAAATATACATTGTTCATACAATGTTCATTGCAGCACTATTTACAATAGCCAGGACATGGAAGCAACCTACGTGTCCATTGACAGATGAATGGATAAAGAAGATGTTGCATACATATACAATGGAATATTACTCAGCCCTAAAAAGAAACGAAATTGAGTTATTTGTATGTGGTGGATGGACCTAGAGTCTGTCATACAGAATGAACTGTCAGAAAGAGAAAAACAAATACCATATGCTAACACATATGTATGGAATTAAAAAAAAAATGGTACCGATGAACCTAGCAGCAGGCCAGGAATAAAGACACAGACATAGAGAATGGACTTGAGGACACAGGGTTGGGAGGGGAAGCTGGGGCAAAGTGAGAGAAGTATTGACATATATACACTACCAAATGTAAAATACCTAGTGGGAAATAGCTGCATAACACAGGAACATCAGCTCCGTGTTTTGCAACCACCTAGAGGGGTGGGATAGGGAGGGTGGGAGGGAGGCTCTAGAGGGAGGGGATATGGAGATATATGTATGCATATGGCTGATTTGTTTTGTTGTACAACAAAACTAACACAGCATTGTGAAGCAATTATACTCCAATAAAGATGTATATATAAAAAAAGAAACACTTATTCTAGGTGAAAACCTGGATATGCAGAAGGGAAAGAAGAGTTGTAAGAATTATGTGGATATATTTAATGGATATCGAGTCAACAAAATATTAACAATAAAGTTTCAAATTTTAAAATATATATTTGTATTCGAATTCAAGGGAGCAAATATGGCATAAGCAGTAAATAAAGGTAGAAGGTAGTTATGTCTTTTCACTTTTCGAGAAAGGGTAAAGGTACTAATTTGTTAGACTTTAATGAGTTAAGAATTTATGCTGTAAAATGTGGGGCACTAATAACATAATATTTAAAACATTAAACTGACAACAGAGGAGAGTTAAAATAGCTATTGTGAAGATAAAAAGAAAACAACAAAAGAAGTGGAGTTCAAAGAAATGGTAGCATTCATCTCTGATTAAGGATAACTATATTATACTTAATTAATTATATATACATACTATACATACTTATATATAAATAATATATGTAAATATATCTTATAATAATTTTAAAACTATGTTAAATATAGAGTAACTTCCAATTTAAATTCTAAGAATATTTATATTTAAAATAACTGTTCACTATCTTAATGAGAAACTCCTTTAACAAAAGCCTAAAGAAAGAGGAAAGTAAAAAGATGAAAAATATACCATGCAACACAAGCCAGTAGAAAATTGCTATAGTTAGTATACTGTTATAATAGAAGGCAAGAGCCGTATTGGAAATGATGAAGCATGTTTCATAATGATAGATAGAGTATCTAAACTATTAGCAATGTTTTTAAAAAAATCTTTATGTACTTAACAATACAAGTTCAACATAAGTTTGAAAAAAGTGAACTATTACAAACAGAGATTTAAACAATTCTCTCTCACTGCTTACAAACAAGCAGATATCAGTAAGGCTAAAGAAAGATTTAAACTAGATAACTAATCAATTAGTTCTACATATATGTAGAACACATACTATATACTAGTATGGACTATTCATATTTTTTTTACATAGAAATTTTCAAAAAATACACTATAAATCATATTTCCAAGCATATTCATATAAAAATATAGAAGTGGTGCCACTGCAGTAGCTGCTAGCCAAGTTTGGCAAGTGGGCACTTGAAATGTGGGTATTCAAATTTAATTTTAATTAGTTAAAAAAAATAATATTTTAGTATTGGTTCCCCTTTCACGCCAGCCACTTTTAACAAAGATGTGGAATATTTCTAGCTTCACAGAAAGTTCTCTAACCAAATAGAATGCTCTTTACTATATGCAGAAGTCAATAACCAAAAATTTGAAAATCCTTATATGGTGTTAAATTCAGTAATAAATGTCTAAGTAACAGATGGGCCATAGAAATGACCACAATGAACGTTCAAAATTTTTATAAGAATTACAAGGAAAATATAAAACCAAATGTCTGTCTTCTGAAGTATTAATTGCCTTAAATGCTTACCTTACAAACTAAATAAAACAAAACAAAGCAGAAATCCAAGCATGCATCACAAGAAACTAAAAATGGAAAAGCTAAATTTAGGTGAAATTAAAACCAAATGAAGTAGAAGGAAGAAAACAATAAATAGTACAAAATCAAGACAAAGAACAAAATTACAATAGAGAGGAACAAGGCCAAATGTATTCTCATTGAAAACATTTAATAAAATTGATAAAAGACTGCTGAAAGAAAGGCGAGGAGAGGGAATCCCTGATGGTTCAGTGGTTAAGACACTGCGCTCTCACTGCCGAGGCCCCGGGTTCATTCCTTGGTCAGGGAACTAAGAGCCCACAAGCCATGCGGTGTGGCCAAAAAAAAAAAAAATTTGAGAAGAAAGAAGTCTTTTATGTCTATAATAAATATGGGGATACTGTGTGGTTTTTACAGATAAAAAAGCAATATTATGAAAACATTTTAGTATCTATAAAAAATAGAAAAATCCTAAATTGAAAATTACCAAAATGCATCACAAAAAATAGAAACCTGAGTAAACCTAACACATATTGTAAAGAAATTGAGTTCGTTATATAAACCTTCCCACAAAAAAGTTCTAGAAGCTCAGATGGCATTGGTAGTGAATAATAACACTTGAAAACGTAGCAGTACTCTTTCACAAAGGTCCAGGTAAAAGAAAAGGAAATACTTCCTAATAATAGCCTTGGTAACAACTTGTCAAGTACATAACGTAAATGAAAACTCAATCAAATTTCTTTGGGAACACAGATAAAGAAAAACTTTAGCTTGACCTAGATATAATATATGCATTGATTTTTTAAAAAAGGACAACACATGATCATTGTGATTTTACTTCAAAATGCAAGACTGGTTTAACATGTGAAAGAAATAAAGGTAATTTACTTCATAATCATTATACAGAGAAAACGTTTATCATTCCAACTGATGGAAAAATAATACAAATGTAACGTCAATTGATTATAAAATTTGTTTGAAAAATGAGAATATTATGGAATTGTTTTCATATGAGAAACTTATGATGAAAAAAACCGTAAGATGATGGTAACCAACAATCCACTCTCTGCCTCTAGAATAGGTTTCCCTCTTCTTGATATTTCATATAAATGGACTCACACAACATGCGATCTTTTACAAAGGTTGAAGGCCATGAAAATAATGTAGAGTAAAAAAAGCCAGACACAAAAGTAACGATATCTATACTTTTTGGTGTGCATATTATATTTCAATATAATTCACTTTAAAATTTATACAATCATAATATTATTTCCATTTCATAAAAGTTAAAGTTACTCAACAGCATCCAAACTCACGTTTTCTCAAGCTGATCCTTGCAATTATATGTATGTGGGAGCTCACAACTGTCTGCTTTAATGCCATCTGAATATAACAGAGCACAGTTACGTTTATCAGGTGATGAGTCTGTTATACTGTAATGGAAAAAAATGCACAATTCTGTTATAGCATATGAGGACAACTCATGAAACAACAGCATTTTCCATGTCACTGTAATAAAAGATATTTTGAAAATGGGTAATGATATTTTAATATAATTTTAGTAAGAGCTTGTTATTAGGGAAATGGGCTACCGAGTAGCCCATTCTTTAATAATTATATCAACATTTTATTAACTTTCAACATCTTCCTTCATATTTCTATAATTCAACTAAAACAAATGTTTTAATATTATTCTTAAAATTTTTATTTTAATCTTTTCCTCCTCTATACAGTATTATTTTTAAAAACTTACTGTAGTTTGTAAGTTGAACCATTTAGCCACTTCCAGGGATGATCACGGCCTTTACGAAAGACTGAAATCCATGACACAACTGATAGGGACATCAGGAATTTCTAGCCAAAAATAAAGAATTTTCACTTAAATAGTCGTTATGAAAGATTTTTATTAATTTTTCAAAGGCAAGTAGTGTGTTCTTTCATAGGATCCTTAGTTTTCTGAACAAAATGAGAGTGTTAAGAGTCTCATCTAACACTAAAAATATATTAAAGTTGAAAGTTTTAATATTGCCAAATACATTAACCAAGGTCTGTACTTTTGATGTAAAATTAACTCAAACAGTTATGCTTAGCAGTTTCACTGTTTTTCTTAGGTTAATAAGGAAAATTCTGATTCACGTAATTCAATTGTTACCCATGTTGTCAAAACTAACATAGCAAGGCTTTAAATAATACTTTAGATTCTGTGACATCCATTTCTCAGGATACTGTGACTATATCAATGGATTTCTCCTCTATGTTTCTCAGAGTTTCGGTTTTAGAAGGAAATTAAGGGAATGAAATTGAGAAAATTAGTGACACGAAAGCCAAAGATTTGGTTTCCTGGGGCTCACACCGTTCTTTGACTAGATCAACCCCCAATCACTCTGTTTCTGTGTTGCTGGAATCCAAGGGACCAGACAAGGAGTCAGAGACTCATTTCTCTCAGCTGCGCCCTGCTAAGTACAACTGTAAACAATGGAACTAATGAAAGACACAAGTCAAGGAGAACTCTGAAAGGTGGAAAGAGAAAGGTGAAATGGTTTGCGACCCTGGGGTTAAGGAACAACTATTAGGGGCATCCTATATCCGCCACCCAACCGAAGAAAGTGACCTAGGCCTGCTGCTTCCCAACACCCAGCCTAGCCATTCCTCCTTGGTGTTGAGGGGAATCCTGTGGGCAACACAAGGTGAGCCTTACAAGGTGATCCAGCAGGACACCTAATAACAAGAAGCAGCCAGAGTAAGTTCTTCTCCTCCCCCTCACCGAGAGATACCAGAGTTGGGGGGTAGGGGTGGAGGTGGGACCAGCAAAGGGGATCCCATGACTAAAAGTACTGAACCCAGGAAGCCTCTTTATATCTGAGGGCATAAGACTCCATCTGTACCCAGAGACACTGGATAGATTGGATTTTAAATGTTATATTTACATAATAAGCAGTGGAAATTTACAAACTACACATAAATGCAATAATATGGATGAACTGCAAAAATAGCATATGGGGGTGAGAGGAGACAGGAAGAAAAATGCATACTCTATGATTCCATGTATATGAAGTTCAAAAACAAGCAAAGAGGGGCTTCCCTGGTGGCACAGTGGTTGAGAGTCCGCCTGCCGATGCAGGGGACACGGGTTCGTGCCCCGGTCCGGGAAGATCCCACATGCCGCGGAGTGGCTGGGCCCGTGAGCCATGGCCGCTGAGCCTGAGCGTCCGGAGCCTGTGCTCCGCAACGGGAGAGGCCACAACAGTGAGAGGCCCGCGTACCACAAAACAAACAAACAAACAAACAAACAACCAAGCAAAGAGATTCTATAATATCAAAAGTTAGGACAGTGGGTATACAAGGAGGGTGGAGAAGTGATGAGAGAATACAGAGGAGTGGGGCTGCTGTGAAGTGGAAGCTTCTATTCCATGATCTGATATGCAATTACATGGTTCTATATATTTTGTGATCAATATGCAAAATCATGATATGTTTATTTTCCTTTATATACTGTAAAATTAAATAGCACAGCTTATTTTAGAAAATAATAGCATTTGTAGAAACATTTTTTTTATGAAAAGCAAGAACTGGAAATTATCAAACGTGTATTAATGGTATAAAAATATAAATAGAATATCATAAAGTTGTATTCTGTTGTTTAATGGAACATTAATAGGCCTTAAACTGCAAATATGTACAAAGCCACAAGTGAATCCTAGCAAATATAATATTGACTGAATCAAGCCTTTAACAAAGTGTTTGCAACATTTAGTATCTTACCATTTCTTCTTCATTATCTATATAAAGCAGAGTAGAGTTCTTAGTAGCACAGGCTGTCACACTCTCATTCCATGTTTTTTTTTCAAAATGAATATAATAGCAATTGTTGGAATATGTAAACCACTCTTTTGGACAATGACCAGAATGACATTCTGAAGAAAGATTGTGAATTATTATCTAAAAACAATTTGAATTAAAAAAAATGAAAACTAACTTACATATATGCATAGGTATAAATATATATGTGTGTATATATATAAAACACATCTATGCACCCTCAAGACTGGTGCATATAAAACAAACCACACTCATACATTCACAGAAGTGTCAATCTTTCACCCCGCAATTTATGTCTCCATATAAAGCAAACACACAGAAATAGCCACTCTTTACATGTCCTGAAAATCAAAAACTGAAACCTCTGTTTTAGAATAGCAAAATTATTTGTCTCTTATCATATTACAGAGGGAGGAAATTTGAGCCAGTGGCAACAGTGGGTATGGTGATCGTATTGTTGCATAGGGAGAAACACTCTCCTATAATCATTATTTATGAATATTTGTTGCCCGATTTTGTAATTTATGTTCAACCCCAAAATCTATTCTTATTTTCACTAGCCTAAGATAGAGACAAAATACAAACTGTATTTATATCAGAACTTTGAAAATCATTATGTACCTTTCTGGAGCCTTTTTATCGGAGAGGAGTTATTCTGCTCCTGTATTGCAGTAGCTACAAAATTAATCATTATAAAAGTTAATATTGATCTAAATAAATCATAATGACTGTAGTTTCTGAGTTGAAATTTGGTTTATTGCTTAGGATTAGAATAATCTGGAATAAAATTGATTTTACCAAGAAAAATTAAGTAATGAAGATTTGGTTGAAAAAATATTTCAAAAGCGTAAAGGAACAGATCACCATCTCTTATAGTATTTGTTTTAATCAATCTCAAGAATTAATTTGTATTTCTCAATAAGATCTTTCAATCTCCTAGAGCATGCTTTTGAGTTATGAAATCAGAATATACATATACATACTCTCTGTAATTATTGTGTTGTATACTTTTGACAAATTCAGAATCACCATTCCACATTTAGTCTAAGTGCATACATTTTAATGAGATGCCCATTCCATAATATTATGAAGTGTTTAGAGGCACTGACCATCATTAAAGTGTAAAGTTCCCTTACAATTTTTCAAAAATCTACTTACAGGGAGTAAAAACTACCATTGTTACCACACTGGACATCAAAACAAGGCAGATGATTCCCAGAACCCCAGCAATGAGCTTCTCTGGAGGTGATGGTAAATCTGCAGGGAAAGGAAAGGAAACACTGAGAAAAGAGTGATGGTGACAGTTGTTTAGAAAGTTTACAAACAAGAGAACCCACATAAACAGGGAGTTATATATATAAACTTGGACCCCAAGCCCATTTCTACCACTATAATCTTTCTCTCAGAATATACCATTGCAATTTCAGCATATATAACGCTTCATGAGTTGTTGATCAAAGACTACAAATTACAGCAATGCCAGAATAAAAGTAGTCCTCCAATTTCACATTAGAATACCATATCCAACTTTAAGTTCTGTTCCTCAAAATGAAAAATATGTGAAACTATCCCCTACTCTTTCTCCAACCTCTGTACTCCAACTGCATATCCTAGAACAGCTCCATCATGTGACTATTAAATGTTTTACCTTTGCAGTGGTAGTTCTTGTCATTCCCTCGAAGGTTCTGAGAAGCATTTTGAAGATTTAATTCTGCATAGGTTATTTCCTGCTCAGTTATTGAAATGGAACTTTTAGTGCCCTTAGGTTTTATTTGCTGCCTCTTTGAGTTCTTGGCTACCTTCAGTTCTGCATAGGTTACTCCTTGGTTATTCATCTCTGCAGCTGAATTATGTCAGACAGTGCTCTAAGTGTACTTAGGAATGAATGGTATATGTAAGATGAGATCCCTAGTACAGTAAAATGGGCGGGGTAGAGTCTAGTGCTCACTTCGCAGTAGAACAATCTTAAGGCCTGGTTCTAAATTCCTTAGAGTTTTAAACAAGTGTCTCATGGTAGAATACTTTTTTTTAAGTAATTCTACATTTGACAATATATTTTTGGTTGAAACAATGAAAAGCAATAAATTAGGGAGGAATAAAGAAGTTCATGACGAATAATGTCCTAGTCAGATTCCACAGAAATATTTTAACACCATTATAATGCTTGTATTAAAATTAAAATGTTTTATTAGAAAAGAGAGATTCACCTATATTTATGATAATTTTGAAATCCAGTAATGGTTAAAGATAGAGTATTTTAAAGATGGGGAAAGAGTAATGTTGGCATGTACAACAATCTCCTACACTAAATTACATTATTTGGCGACTTACATTTACTTATTAAAAGTGTTACCAAATGGTTGTTATTTTGAATGGTTGAGGAGCTCTGAGAAGACATTAAAAATTGAGGAAATACTTCATGTATTGGAAAATGTTACATGATACACTAAACGTATATATAACCTAGACAATATTGAAAATAAAACAACAGAAAAAGACTAAAAAATACTTAGTTTGTAAAAGTAATCGATAATTGACTTAATGGCTAAGATATGAACCCACAAAATAATAAACAAATATAAGTAATTTATGGAAGAACACTGTTAATTCAAACTTCCAGAAAGATCCTATAGGTGTCAAAGTTAGTAAAGGTCATTTTAGTTGTATAAGTGATGGTAATTACTTGTAAAAAAATCCAGATAACATAACTTAATAATTCAGTCAACAGATGCTGTAGTCAGAAAGACCTGGAAATAAATTATGGCTTTGAAACTTACAGGAGTGTGACTGTTAAAAAATTATTTAGTATCTAGTAACCTATCTTACTAATCTAAAATGGAAATAAGAATAGGTAATATACAATGCATGTAACACTGAGCACTCAACCTGACACTTATAAGTTCTCAACAAGTATCAGTTTTAATTATTATTTTAGTCACAATTTCTATGTTACTATTTCTAATTCATATCAGTTAGACCCTGTTAAGTAATTTATTAAGCAGTAGTGTCTTTAATTAGCATGGTACATTTTTTTGCAGTTTGTTCAATTTTTTAAAAAATTCTTCCATTACTTACAATTAAGTTTAAATTAGCATTTAGGAAGCTACCTCATCCTGATTTTTGTTATAAAATCAGGCTGCTTTTATTGAGTCTAAGTACACGTATGAGGAATTATGTTTGGCTTTTGTTATGCAATGAATTCCTTTCCAATAATCTATTTATAAAGGTTGAGCAAAATATATATTAACATACTATTATACAAAAAACCCACCTTCTACTGATTATAAAATCCCAAACTAATTGTTCCCTGTCATGATGTCTGTGGGTTTCACTTAATATTATATTGATTTACAAACCCAAATATGCAAGTGCATATGCAATTGACTAACTTCCTACAGACAATAAATTGAATACTTTGAGAAATCTTCCAACATATTTCATGTTTTATGGTTGCTTTTTACCCTGAATTATTTTTTAAAAACACCAATATTCTACTTTGATTTTGTTGTATATTAATTGTACCTCACTTGCATGACATTTAACATTTGTTATTTCCCACTAAGTGAGGTGGTCTAGTAGAGAGACAGGAGAGGAGGGACACATACCTTCTGTTGGCCAGAAAGTTGTGCATCCTTTAGTGGGGAGGTCAGGTTACTCTCATAAAAGAGGCCTGCTATAGCTGGGTGATAAAAGAGGAAATTTAAAAACATAAATCTAGGACAAGAATAAACAATGTCTGTGACCTCCACAGACTGCCCTGTGAAGGCTCAGAGTGAAACAAGAGTGGAAAAAGTTGATTTCTCATCAAAGTGTCACTTTAGGTTTGAACAGGAAATTCTCACACATAGGCTATTTTGAAGACAGTTTACCTCATCACAAACCTCCAGAAACTAGGAGACTTTGGGCTCCAGTTGAAAGGACAAATGGACCTCTAAGTGTGTCATTTAGATTTTCCATTTTCAAATGTCTCTGAGAAATTGTTTTCATATTCTACAAGATCTGAGGAGATGGCGGCTTAGCCACCCTGCAGTTATCTTATTTCCATCTCAATCATAAACACTGCAAACTTCAAATACCTCAAGTTTTACTTTTAAACTAGTCGCTAAATCTTGGCAGTACATACACTATTTCCTCATATCCATTATTATTCCATTTCTATTATCATGGAAGAAATTCTAAAAGCCATAATCCCATTTTCAACAAGTATTTAAGGATATCTGTCACTAATTATCCTGAGGAATTTCTACATTCTCAACCATACTCTACCTGGCACAAAGTCCATCATTTTCAAAATACCATCTCTATTTCTCTGCCCTAGTTCTTACATTCCATTTTATTCTTATTAAATAAATAATTTAATCTGCAGATTTCTTCTGATAAAAATAAATGCCCCTTGAAAGGATAAAACACAAACAATATTAAACTGTATCACCATGACATAGGTGGAAATATTAAATAACTACTCATTATATCATTCATGAATTCATCCTCCAATCATGACTAGTTGTCTATATTACACTAGGAATATATATATATATATATATATTTTTTGGCGGTACTTAGGCCTCTCACTGCTGTGGCCTCTCCCATTGTGGAGCACAGGCTCTGGACATGCAGGCTCAGCGGCCACGGCTCACGAACCTAGCCGCTCCGCAGCATGTGGGATCTTCCCGGACCGGGGCACGAACCCATGTCCCCTGCATCGGCAGGCGGACTCTCAACCACTGCACCACCAGGGAAGCCCTACACTAGGAATATTTGATGTAACGACATAAACCCAAGTCAAACTATGCAGTTCAAGAAAAGGTAATTTTTAAAAATATCACCTAACCAAACAATGGGAAGGGGAGGAAAAGAAGGCTTAAACCACAAGATAAATGGCACATGCAAATGAAAATGACAAGAAAGTATGGGTAGCAATATTCATATCAGACAAAATAGACTTTAAAACAAAGTTCATAACAAAAGACAAAGGACACTATATAATGATAAAAGGATCAATACAAGAAGAGGATATTACACTTGCTAACATGTATGCACCCAATATACTTAGGAGAATCTAAATACATAAAACAAACACTACAGACATAAAGAGAGAAATTGATGGGAATAAAATAATAGTAGGAGTCTTTAATACCCCACTGACATCACTGGACAGATCTTCTAGACATAAAAAGCAATAAGGCAAAGGAGATCATAAATGACACAACAGGACAGTTGGACTTAATTGATGTCTACAGGACGTTACATACAAAAAAACCATAATACACACTTTTTTAAGTGCACGTGGAACATTCTCAAGGATAGGCCCCATAGTAGGACACAAAACAAGCCTCAAGAAATGTAAGGGATAGAAATTATTTCAAACATCTCTTCTGACCACAACCATATGTAACTAGAAATCAACCACAGGAAAAAAATGAGAGAAAAAAATGATTACATGGAGACTAAACAACATGATACTAAAAATCAATGGGTCAGAATGAAATGAAAGAGAAAATCAGAAAATACCTGGAGACAAATGACAATGAAAAGACAACCTTACAAAATCTATGGGACACAGCAAAAGCAGTTCTAAAAGGGAAGTTCACAGCAATACAGGCCTTTCTCAAGAAAGAAAATCTCAAGTAAACAACCTAACCTACCACCTAAAAGAATTAGAAAAAGAGGAACAAACAAGACCCAAAGTCAGCAGAAGGAAGGAAATAACACACATCAGAGAGGAAATAAATAAAATAGAGATAAAGAACAATAGAAAGATCAATAAAGCCAAGAACTGTTTCTCTGAAAAGATAAACAAAATTGACATACCTCTAGCCAGGCTCACCAAGAAGAAAAGAGAGAGGAGCCAAATAAAAAAAAAAAAAAGAAAAGAAAAAGGAGGAACAACTGATACCAGAGAAATACAAAAAATCATAAGAAAATACTATGAACACTTATGTCAACAAATTGGACAACCTAGAAGAAATGGACAAGTTTTTAAAAATGGACAACCTGCCAAAACTGAGTCAAGAAGAAAGAGAAAATTTGAACAGAATGATCACTAGAAGTGAAATACAATCTGTAATTTTTTTAAAAACTCCCTGTAAACAAAAGTCCAGGTCTGGGTGGCTTCACTGGGGAATTTTACCAAATATACAAAGAACTTATACCAATCCTTCTCAAAGTATTCCAAAAGACTGAAGAGAGGGAACTCTCCCAAAGTCATTCTAGGAAGCCACCAACATCCTGATATCAAAATCAGACAAAGACATTACAAAAAAAGAAAAGTACAGGCCAATATCTTTGATGAATATGGATGCAAAAGCCCTCACAAAATATTAGTAAACTGAAGCAACAATACATAAAAAGGATCATATGCCGTGATCAAGTTAGATTCATTCCAGGGTTGCAAGAATGGTTCAACAAATACAAATCAATCAATGTGATATGCCACATAAACAAAAGAAAAAACAAACACTGATCATCTTGATAGATGCAGAAAAAGCATTTAATAAAATTCATGATAAAAACTTTCACCAAAGTGGGTATGGAGGGACTATACCTCAACATAATAAAAGCCATGTATGACAAACCCATAGTTAATATAATACTCAACAATGAAAAACTGAAAGCCTTCCAGCTAAAATCTGAAAGAAGACAAGGATGCCCATTCTCACCAGTTCTGTTCAACATAGTATCAGAAGTCCTAGCCATAGCAATCAGACAAGAAAAATAAATAAAAGGTATCCAAATTGGAAGGGAAGAGGCAAAATTGTCACTATATGCAGATGACATGATACTATGTATGTAGAAAACCCTAATGACTGCAACACAAAAACCACTAGAATAAACAAATTCAGCAAAGTAGCAAGATACAAAATTAATACACAGAAGTCTGTTGCATTTCTTTGCACTAACAATAAAATATCAGAAAGAGAATGTAAAAAAAAAAATCCTGTTTAAAATTGCATCCAGGGCTTCCCTGGTGGCGCAGTGGTTGAGAGTCCGCCTGCCAATGCAGGGGACACGGGTTCGTGCCCCGGTCCGGGAGGATCCCGCGTGCCGCGGAGCAGTTGGGCCTGTGAGCCATGGCCGCTGAGCCTGTGCGTCCAGAGCCTGTTGCTCTGCGGCGGGATAGGCCACAACAATGAGAGGCCCGCATACCGCAAAAAAAAAAAAAAAAAAAAAAATTGCATCCAAAAAAAAAAACCTAGAAATAAACCTAACCAAGGAGGTGAAAGACATATACACTGAGAAGAATAAAGCATTGGTAAAGGAAACTGAAGATTATTCAAAGAAATAGAAAGATATTTCATGCTCTTGAATTGGAGGAATTAATACTGTTAAAAGGGTCATACTACCCAAAGCAATCTACAGACTTAATGCAATCCCTATCAAATTACCCATGACATTTTCCACAAAACTATAATAAATAATCCTAAAATTCATATGGAACCAGAAGAGACCCAGAACTGCCAAAATAATCTTGAGGAAAAAGAACAAATCTGGAGGCAGAACCTTCTCAGACTTCATACAATACTACAAAGCTACAGTAATCAAAACAGTGTGATACTGGCACAAAAATAGTCATATGGATGAATGGAACAGAATAGAGAGCCCAGAAATAAACCCACACACCTATGGTCAATTAATCTTTGACAAAGGGGGCAAGAATATACAATGGAGCAAAGACAGTCTCTTCAGCGAGTGGTATTGGGAAAGCTGGAGAGCCACATGTAAATCAATGAAGTTAAAACACTCCCTCACACTATACACAAAAATAAACTCAAAATGGTTTAAAAACTTAAATATAAGACATGACACCATAAAACTCCTAGGAGAGAACAAAGGCAAAACATTCTTTGATATAAATCATAGCAATATTTACTTAGGTCAGTCTCCCAAGGCAAAAGAAATAAAAGCAAAAATAAACAAATGGGACCTAATGAAACTTAAAAGCTTTTGCACAGCAAAGGAAACCATAAACAAGACGAAAAGACAACCCTCAGAATGGGAGAACATATTTGCAAACGAAGCAACTGAGAAAGGGGTAATCTCCAAAACATACAAACAGCTCATGCAGCTCAATATCAAAAAAAACCAAACAACCCAATCAAAAAATGGGTGGAAGGCCTGAACAGACATTTCTCCAAAGAAGACAAACAGATGGCCAACAAACACATGAAAAGATGCTCAACATCACTAATTATTAGAGAAATGCAAATCAAAACTACAATGAGGTATCACCTCACACCTGTCAGAATGGCCATAATCAAAAAGTCTATAAATAACAAATGCTGGAGAGGGTGTGGAGAAAAGGGAACTCTCCTACACTACTGGTGGGAATGTAAATTGATGTAGCCACTATGGAGAATAGTATGGAGGTTCTTAAAAAAACTAAAAATAGAGTTACCATATGATTTAGCAATCCCACCCCTGGGCATATATCCAGAGAAAAACATTATTCGAAAAGACATATGAACCCAGTGTTCATAGCAGCACTATTTACAATAGCCAAGGCATGGAAGCAATCTAAGTGTTCATCAACAGATGAATGCATAAAGAAGATGTGGCACATATATACAATGGAATATTACTCAGCCATAAAAAGAAACGAAATTGAGTTATTTGTAGTGAGGTGGATGGACCTAGAGTCTGTCATACAGAGTGAAGTAAGTCAGAAAGAGAAAAACAAATACCGTATGCTAACACATATATATGGAATCTAAAAATTTAAAAAAAGGTCATGAAAAACCTAGGGGTAGGACGGGAATAAAGACGCAGACCTACTACAGAATGGACTTGAGGACACGGGTAGGGGGTAGGGTAAGCTGGGACGAAGTGAGAAAGTAGCACTGACATATATACACTACCAAATGTAAAACAGATAGCTAGTGGGAAGCAGCCGCATAGCACAGGGAGATCAGCTCGGTGCTTTATGACCACCTAGAGGGGTGGGATAGGGAGGGTGGGAGGGAGGGAGATACAAGAGGGAAGAGATATGGGGATATATGTATATGTATAGCTGATTCACTTTGTTATAAAGCAGAAACTAACACACCACTGTAAAGCAATTATACTCCAATAAAGATGTTAAAACAAACAAAGTTTGCTAACTTTATTTAATAAATTAATATTAATATGAGCTCTCATAGGGAGAACACTCACTCCCAAAGAATTTGTGGGTGGTGAATTTTCTTCACTTCGAATACATTTAAAAGTTGAAAATTTAACTAAAGTATTGTGAGTGCAGTAAAAAAAAAAAAAAACTTTAACAATAATTTATAAAATTTTATAAAGGCAACAGAATATTTTGTACTTCTTTAATTAATTAGGATTCAATCACAACATGTATTAGGAAAACAGCTGCTATATATTAAACACACAGACGTAAGTTTTCCCAGATGAACAGTTACAAGCATAAACATAATCTCCTTCAATATATGGACAACCATGGTTCTCCATTTGCAAGAATCTGTAAAAAAAATTGTAAAGCAAGGTGTGATATCCGCAAATGCCAATTTTATCTCAAGCTTAAAATTAGAAAGAACAAACAAAATGAGAAACAATAAAAGAACTAATCAAAACAAGAATTAAATCCTGAAGATTGACAGTCTTTAATCACAAAATATTAAGCTTAACACAAAATACTGAATAGTATCTAATCCTATCCTGTTTATTTAAGTAGAATTATAAGCCAATATGATAGAAGTTTATGGATTTATCAGCTTGCCTAAAACTATGCATAAATTTCTCCTAAGAGTCCAGTAAAGTTAAAGAAAGTAAAGGCCCTAAAGGTGATATTATTTAGAAAGAACTGGAAATTTTCCCCCAATTAAATCCCACAGACTGATCCTCAAAAACCGTAATGATTTCCTTTTTCTTGGTTGCTCTTTCTGTGCCCTACACACATAACGCACACACACATACATGCACATACACACGAATTGTCATATATTCTCAGAAAAGTTCAGTTATCAAAACACTATACGTTCAGGCTTTCAATTACTGTGGTGCCATCTTCCCTTAACCAGGATTTATTGGTTTCATTGATTTTGAGACCTATCCATCCTTTCATTTCAAGCATGGATAAAATTTCCGATTGGGAAAAGAAATCATAAACCAGAAATGTGTGCATATTATAATCCACTCCTTTCTGACTCAAATGTTATTGGTTAAAGTTCTCCCAAGGGCTTGCACACATCCACTTAGTATTAATAAGATTTTTTCTCAAGGTATCTCATTTGTTAATGTGGTTTTCTTCTAGCATTAAATGTTCAAAAAGTGGAGTTTCTCCCTAAGAAAATTGAGTCAAAGTAAGAAAATATCATACACTTTTGAGAACCTTCAGTTTTCCCAAATTATGGTGTCAATCACTAATGCTTTGAAACCAGATATAGTTACAGTATAACAAAAAAAACAGAAGTGTCTGCCCTACCAGCTCTTCCTTGATACCAATCTTTAGAAGGTGGGAATTCAGCTCTGCACAGGCAGCATGGCTCTCCGCCCAGGTTTTGGATTTATTGGAAAGATGATAAGAGCTATTTCCAAATCCAATCCAGTGGGTTGAACAAAGATCACAGGAACATTCTAGAAAATGTTAACATATTTAATGTGTACTCTGTACTGTGAATAACTACTACTAACACAATTACTATATCTTTGTGTTTGTTTTACAGATGGATATTAGATAGAAAGCAAAACAAGTATTTTCTGTAACATTTCTGGGCAAGTTTTACACAAACCATAGTTAACAATAATTAATATTTAGCTCATGTTTTGAATTTTTCTACTAAAAATTTGTTATAAAATTTTACCCACAAGGAAAATGCATTCCAAATAATATTATACAATTGTTTGATGTGATTAAAATTATATATGCAGGGCTTCCCTGGTGGCAGAGTGGTTGAGGGTCCGCCTGCCGATGCAGGGAACACGGGTTCGTGCCCCGGTCTGGGAAGATCCCACATGCCGCGGAGCGGCTGGGCCCGTGAGCCATGGCCGCTGAGCCTGCGCGTCCGGAGCCTGTGCTCCGCAACGGGAGAGGCCACAACAGTGAGAGGCCCGCGTACCGCCAAAAAATAAATAAATAAATAAAAATTATATATGCATATTGAGAAGGCTAAAAAATATATAATCATATGAACACAAAAAAACAATTAATGAACTATTGCACTTTTGTCAGAAATGTTTATTATTAATTATTTTAAATATATGGAATAAAATTCAGTAACTAATTTCATAAAAACTTATACTTCAACTGTTTAATAAACATATGCAATTTGCATATTTTAATAATCTTTTTTATAATCATCAAAAACATACAGTTAGGGAAGGGGATCAAGGCAGTGGAGTAGGAGAATGTGGAACTCATCTCCCCCCACAAACACATCAAAAATACATCTACATGTGGAACAGTTCTCATGGAAAGCTAACTGGAAGCTAGCAGAACTACACAACCAAAGTTGCAAGAAACCTATAACTGGGTAGGATGGGAAAAAAAGACATTGCCTCGGGACCTGCACCCCTGGGAGGGATCTGAAAAAAAAAAAAGGACTCTCAACCTGAGGAGCGAGCAGGGTGAGCCACAATCTAGGCATCCTAGTCCTGGGTTCTGCACAAAGGAGACAAGCCCTCTTGCCTGCTGGGAAAACTGCTGGGACAGACAGAAGGGTTGGAGAAGCCTACATGCTACTCATAAGGAGTGTGCACATGTTGGTTTGCCAACAGTCAGGTGGAGAGAGTCTTGCACTGGTGGCTGCCTCATCACCACACTTCTCAATCCGAAGGGGCAAACACCCCAGCCCTGCTCACTCCACACCACAGCTGGGGAGCAGATCCAGCACCTGGCAGGGCAATGACGGCCCCTGAACAGAGAGGAAGTCCCTCCTCACACCCTGCACGAGCATTTGATCCTCCAATGCCAATGACAGTCTCTATCAAGGTGATCGTGGCTAGCACACCCTGAGGAAAGAAGTGGCTGGCAGCTCTCACACCAAAGACACTAAATACACACAGTCTCCACGGGAATGCTCCCACATAAAAACACGCCTTCAAGATCACAATAGACAACTGTTTCCCCTAAATTCATAGAGTCATAGAAATTTAAGTGAAATCTAAGGGCAGAGGAACTACTCCCAACCAAAAGAACAAGAGAAATCCCCTGAAAGAACAAAATAAAACAGAGCTCACCAGCCTACCAGACCCCAAGTTCAAGAAGGTGGTAATAAAAACGCTAACTGAATTAAGAAAGATTGTCAATAGAAATGCAGATCACTGTAACAAGGAACTAGAAACTACAAAGAAGAGCCAATCAAAAATAGATAACTCAATTACTGGATAAAAAGCAATCTCGGGGCTTCCCTGGTGGCACAGTGGTTGAGAGTCTGCCTGCCGATGCACGGGACATGGGTTCATGCCCCGGTCCAGGAAGATCCCACATGCCGCGGAGCAGCTGGGCCCGTGAGCCATGGCCACTGAGCCTGCGCGTCCGGAGCCTGTGCTCCACAACGGGAGAGGCCACAACAGTGAGAGGCCTGCGTACCGCAAAAAAAACAATCTCAAAGCAATGAATAGCCAACTAAATGACACAGAAGAATGAATAAGTGATCTAGAAGATAGAAAAATGGAAATCACCCAATCAGAACAGCAGACAGAAAGACAAGTAAAGAAAAACAAAAGCAACGTATGAGATCTATGGGATAATATAAAGCATGCCAACGTACACATAATAGGGGTTCCAGAAGGCGAAGAGAGAAAAAAGGGGATGAAAAGTGTATTTGAAGAAATTATGGCTGAAAACTTCCCAAATCTAAAGAAGGAAACAGATATACAGGTACAGGAAGCACAGAGGCGCCCAACTCTCAGCCATAAAAAGAAGGAAATCTTGCCATTTGCAACAAAATGGATGGACCTTGAGGGCATTATACTAAGTGAAATAAGTCAGACAAATACAGTATGATTTTACTTATATGGAATCTTAAAAAAAAGTCATAGAAACAGACAGATTTGTGGTTGCCAGAGGTGAGGTGTGGTGGTGAGGGAAGTAGGTGAAAATGGTCAAAATGTACAAACTTCCAGTTGTAAAATAAATAAATTCTGGGGAGGTAAAGTGTGGTGACTATAGGTAATAATACCATGTTGTATATTTGAAAGTTGATAAGAGAGTAGATCTTAAAAGTCCTCATCAGGACTTCCCTGGTGGCGCAGTGGTTAAGAATCCGCCTGCCAAAGCAGGGGACACGGGTTCGAGCCCTGGCCCGGGAAGATCCCACATGCCTCGGGAAGATCCCACATGCCTCGGAGCAACTAAGCCTGTGCGCCGCAACTACTGAACCTGCGCTCTAGAGCCCGTGCGCCACAACTACTGAAGCCCGAATGCCCACGCTCTGCAACAAGAAAAGCCACCACATTGAGAAGCCCACGCACCACAGCAAACAGTAGCCCCCGCTCGCTGCACCTAGAGAAAGCCTGCACGCAGCAACGAAAATCCAACACAGCCAAAAATAAATAAATAAAATTTAAAAATAAAGTAGTCCTCTTATTAAAAATAACAGTCCTCATCAAAAGAAAAAAAAATTATAACAATATATGGTGATGGATTTTAACTAGACTTATTTTGATGATCATTTCAGAATATATACAAATGTCAAATCATTATATTGTACCTCTTAAACTAATATAATGTTGCATGTCAATTATAGCTCAAAAAATTCTCTTTGAGGTAAATAGTAAAGAGTATAACAGAGAAGGCATATGTTTGCTTTTGCTCATCACAATTTCACCAACAGTGTATGAGTCTTCCTTTAATCTGCTCATTTTTCTAACTTTTTACAATTTTCATATTTTAAAAAATCTAATCTTTGAAATTTGAAATAATGTACCATTATTTAAATACAATTTTTTCTAATTGCCCGTGAAAGTGAGCATCTTTTCATATATTAATTATACTTTAAATTTCTTCTTTAAGATTTTCTCTCATTCATATCTTTGCTTCCACCCTCAGCCTACAAATTGTTATTTTTTTCTCTTTTTCTTTCTTTCTCCCATTAATTATTCAACTGCATGGGTTCCTTTTGCAATCATTCAAAAGCAATTTAGTATGCAGAACAGAAACATACTTCTGAGCAATTTGCTGTGATATTTGCTGCTCATTATGAAATAATAACCAAAATCATAACATATTATTTTTTTACTTCAGTTTTTATTTTCCCACTGTTTACGCACCCTCAATGACCTGATTTTTTTCTCTCCCAAATAAAACTTTATTACTTTATCCCTTGCCTCAGGCTCTGTTTCTTAAAACATCCAGGAAAAGACTAAGTTTGTATTTGGTCCTTTTGTACTTTCCATATCAGTTTTTGTGTCTTTAATTCCACTTTTCAAGGCTTTACATATTTGAAAGACATCTAATTTTCATTCTGTATCTGATACTTCAATTACCTGGATGTATTAGCATCTAATTTCTTTGTTATCTCAGCTAAGTACTGTTATGACTTTTTCCCTATGCAATTTGGTATTTTAAATTAATTTTTATATATGACAATCATCTGGACCTGAGCTAGTGTCCTTTCCTTAGATGGATGATCTGCATGTACTTTCTCTGTGATGATTTGGGGTCCTACCAACCCAGGATCACACAGGGAATGTAACCTTAAATTCTAAGTGAGTCTGCCTAAGAAATTACAGAAAGTTCTGTATAGTCAACTAGAACTTGAGCTAATATAGAAAAAACTGTTTTAATATCCTCAAGCTTTACATAAGAAACTAATTTTTAACTCCTTTGCTCAAGCTAAGTGAAAGCCTCATTCTCTATCTCTGTTGTAGCGGTTCAATCCAGACTGTACAGTTATTAAAAATGGAAATAACCCCAGAGAGTGGTAACTTCAGAGTCAGAATACTTCTCTCGTTTCAAGCTTTCTCTCCATTTTTGGCCCTTGATGATTTCCGCTGTTTTATCAGAAACCTAGATGTAAAACTAAAATTTAAATTAAAAAAAATTGTATCCATCTAGACATCTGGATCTAATGAGGAGAAAAAGGGAAGCTGAGCTTCACTAATACATAAACTTAGATGCCTGAGCTGTTAAGCACCATCCCTTAGGTAGAAATTAGAGCAGCAACTCTGGTTCCCTGCCACCTGTCGACTGTAACCCTGAACCTCTTCCTTCCTACGAGAGAAGTAGAGCTTGAGTTGCATCTCTTGACTTTTAAAGCTAGAAATTCAACTAAAGTAGTAGTAAAGGAATAAGAAGTAAAAATAAAAAAGAAAGAGGACTATGGAAAGACTAGGAAAACATTAGTAGAAAACAAAGCTATGTGAGAATTTACCTCTGAGGAATAGGACTAAAGAGAGGAAGAAGAGTTAGCTTCATTGCTTTTAATTATGTCTTCCTGTGCTATTTTTAAATCCACTTGGTTGAGTTATAATTTACACACAATAAATTATACTGTTTTGAAGTACACACTTTGATGAGTTTTGATGAATGAATATACCTTTGTAACTTCCTCCCCATTTAAAATTTAGAATATTTCCATCACCTCAAAAGTTAACTCATGTCAATTCCCAACTAATGCCCCACACCTGCTTTACCCAAGCAGCCACAGATCTGATTTACATCACTGTAAATTATTTTTTACTTTTGTATGCAATTCGTATAAACACAATCCTTCAATATCAACTCATTTGCATCTTATGTCACTCAACATAATGTTTTTGAGTTTTATTCAGGTTGTGTGTATAGGGATTTCATTCTTTTTCATTGCTGACTTGTCCATCATATGACTAACCCACAATTTGTAATCCATTCATCTGGTGATTTACTTTTGGATTGCTTATAAATTTTAGTTTTTATAAATAAAGTGTCTATAAACATTTTTGCACATGTCTTATGTGGACATATCTCTTCATGTCTCTTTTTTAAATGTTTAAGAGTGAAATTGTTGGGGATTTGCACCAGTACAGTGTCCATGTCCTTGTTACTGTCAGTCCTTTCAAATTTTAACCATTTTGGATGGTTGTGTAGTGGTAACTCACTGGGGTCATAATTTGCATTTCCTTAATTATTTACTATTTGATTGCTTTTTATTTTCAGATTAGGTGAATTGAAGGAAAACAAAAACAGAAGCAATATGAACAGCTAATATTTGGCATTAAAATTTTTTTTCTGGGAGACATCAAGAAGTTTCGAAAAGCAATCACTAATTTAAATAAAAAATTAACAGCTGCTGGGTCTAGTCTCCTGTTTATTGCATCTATTGAGCTTTTTTCCCTTTTTATTCAAAGAATTTATTTTTAATAAGACTGTCAATTAGTTCTTTCCATATTTTTACTCCATTATTTTAATTTCCTTCCATTTTCTTTTTTTTTTTTATTTGCTTATAGGGAATATTCATCAGGAATACTCATGAGGAATGCCTTTAGTCTCAATGACGAAGGAGCCCTACACTTTTGGGTTTTGTGTGTGGAAGAGATATTTTTCTTGGCAAATGCATCCATGCTGAGAATCTTACACTGTTCAAGAAAAAAGCAAATATTTCTCTGAAAAGACGACAGAGGGGAACCATCCCGACTTCCTGAAAAAACAGCCTCAATTAGGAAAGTTCTCTCTTTCCCTCTCCCCCTCTTCCCCCCACACTGTGCCCCACCCCTGCTGTTTTTTAAGTGCTTAATTTACTGATAAGGATTTGTATAAACCCGCGATAAGTGAAAAAAAGAGACTTGAAAACAAAAACAGCTTTCTATATTATGGCTATTGTATCTGGATGTATAAAAAAATTAATGTAAAATTTATACACTTATAATGTCATAAATGTTAGAGGAATAATATCCATCAGAGAAAGCTAGAAAGAAAAAAGTGTTAATGAGACACAACTCCCTTGCTTTTCATTTGTTTTCTTTTTGCCTTTTTGACCCCCTTCACACATTTCTCTCGCCCCCCACCTTAATATAATTTAAATCCCATTTTTCTCCTAATAATAATCAAATTGCAAACAATAATTATCTTTTATACATAATACTTTGGGTCTTTTCACATTCTCTTATGTCTTCTTTCTTATTTTGCCCAATATTAATATTTCCTTGATAAAACATTGACCATACCATAAAACGGCATTTTTCTATCATGATTCACGAAGTTTTGTGGCTGTCAGGAAGACAAACCCTTTAGTTCCAATGATCAATATTAGAAGTGGATTGAGCAGAGAGAATACTCACCACCATTTTTAGAAGATAGTGTGGGAACAGGTGATCTTTTTCAGTTTCGTTCTTCTCTGCTAGAAAATACTGTGGTAAAAATTATGGTAGTAATTAGTTCTGTATAGGATAAAATAATTAAGACAACGTAAAAATCAGTCTTGAAAGCAAATCATTGAAGTGTATTATGTTACTGATTTTAATAAAAACAGATTATTTTCTTAATTACTTACAGTTTGCAAGCAAGGCACCCACTGTTGTCATCCAGACCACACACAAGATCCCTAGACTCCCAGTCACCATGCTGTAGATCGGTGGTGTAGCACTAAAGAAAACAGAAACAATGATGAAGTTTCATCATTTCCCAGAAGTAATCAAATGTAAAATTTAAGACCATTGTGTTTCACCCTTAGAGGGCAACCATTCATTTTCTAATTCTTGAATGAGTTCATCCTGAATAAAACTATTTCTCAGCCACATTGAGAACCCTAGTTCTTTGATACCCAAATTTCCTCCCTATTAGCTTCTTGTTGACTTCAGTTCTTTCTTATCAGAAATGGACATACATTTCATACGTACCTTTCTTGAGTCTTCCTCTACTCAAGCCTTATATATTGTTTTTCTCTATGATAGACTTTTCACCCCCATCATCTCTATTTGCAACCTTACCTACTGAGTCTTTCCCACCCATTTCCATCCTCTTCTGGAAGATCCAGCCTTTTAAATCTAATTTCATTATGGACGTTGTCCTCTGAAGTGATCAAGAGATAATTCAATGCCATATATGATCTGACTTTTACTGGATTAAACATTATTTTTCTTAATGGTGAGTAAGATGATTAACTACTTAGTCACTTAAGCTAGAAACCTTGTTATCTTATTCTACTCATTTCTCACCTTACCTCCAACTTTCAGTTAATCATGAAGTCATATAAGCTCTACTGCCAAAATACTTTTTTTCTCTATAATCTGTCTTTCCCCTAACAAATTCTGTTAGTTCTTTGAAGCTAAGTGGTTATTGCTTCTTCATCTTTGTAGATACCCTAAGTCCAGAGCAGGCCCACAGAACAAATTCAGAAATAGTTGTGGGACTGAGTTATATTGAACTGAATTGAAGACTAATATCAAGAATTATTTTAAAATAATTTTTAAATAACACAAAAAAAGTAATAGAATTTTCACAGTAGTTCTTACAAGTAATGCAATTCTGTAGGAATTTGAATCAATGCTATTTTAGAGGAAATGAACATAGTGAAGGACTATTTAAGAGACAAACAATTCCATGGTAATATCCTAAAATAATTAAGGAGAGTGTTGAAGATAGATAATTAGTGTAATGAGGCAATTTTATAATGGTTTTGAGAGAAGTAATCTTCTAAACCCAAGAATCAAGATCTAGCAAATAACAAAATATATATAATATTGTACCTTTTCTTTTTTTCCTAAACAACCGTTTTCTGTGCTGAAGGTGAGAGGGCCTTGGAAACTTCAGTTCCATGTAGTTTACTTGCGGTTCACTTGATTTGACACTTCTCTGGTTTGTCTTGGGTATTTTTTGCTTCTGTTGAGATTTGGAAAATTTTGGTTCTGTGTAGGTTACCTCTTGCTTGTTTACAATATCCTTGTTTTGCTCACTCTTAAACATTATTTTTTGGAAAGACTTAGATTGTTTCAGCTCAATCTTGATATCTTTCTGTGTCTCTCTTTAATATCTATGCAATAGAGAAATGTGAGGAAAAGAGTTACATGGTGATTGTATCAGCTCAGACAGCGAAAATTGCCTTCATTCTGATGTACAAGTAAACATTTAGGTATAACATTAAAAGGGTAAAAAAGGGAGGAAATGAGAGACTAAATCTCTCTCCCAACTTTGCAGTCCTTATTCAGAAGAATAATTTTATTCCCCTTTAATGAGATTATACATTTCATTTCCTCTTTGAATCAGGTTTTGAAAGGAGCAGATTAAGGAGCAGATATGTTTTTCCCTCTCAACATTCTCTGTATAATGAATCATGTTGACAATGTGTAGACTATGGTTAAAACACAACTACATTAACAAAGTGTTGATTATTTAAATTTAATATTAAAGTTTTTATTTCAAATCAGGTTGGCATAAAGTTTATTGTATCACTGAAATAACCCATTACTCAGTAGATTCTTTACTAATAGAGGAAAACCCCATCTCTTTCAAGAACTGGGTAGATTCTACATTTGTACAATAACCATGTATCTCTCAATCTGCCAGCCTAACGTCTTTTTTCTACTTAACTAGATCATGTTTACCTACAGGCACATACTCACACACAGAGGCAGACACACAGACCATCTAAATTAAAGAGACAAGGCCAATGAATCACCAAAAATAAACAAAAGAAATTAAAAGGCAATGTATAAAATTTTTAAAATTTATTCAACCTCATTAATAAAGAAAGAAAGCAAATGAAAAGAACAACTTTCACCTGTGAGAACACTAAATAACTGATACTTTTCTGAATTGGCAAATGACTGTGCGTATAAAATTGTCAATAGTTATTAAAACATAAAATATATAGGCTTTTTACCAGCAATTCTATTTTAAGTAATTTATCTTACAAAATATTTTTTAAATATTCAAAGTTGTGTAGCACCTGTTTTTGGTTTTATTTACTAAAAGCTAAATTGGAAAAACAAAAGAACAAAAAGTTGTCAAGAGAACGGTTCACAATTAAGGGAGTTGTTAAAGTTATGAGACATTTATACCCTAGTATACCATTGTTTAATATAACAAATATTATTTAAAATTTTTATTTATTTATTTATTTATGGCTGTGTTGGGTCTTTGTTTCTGTGCGTGGGCTTTCTCTAGTTGTGGCAAGGGGGGGCCACTCTTCACCGCGGTGTGCAGGCCTCTCACTATCGCAGCCTCTGTTGTGGAGCACAGGCTCCAGACGCACAGGCTCAGTAATTATAGCTCACGGGCCCAGATGCTCTGCGGCATGTGGGATCTTCCCAGACCAGGGCTCGAACACGTGTTCCCTGCATTGGCAGGCAGATTCTCAACCACTGTGCCACCAGGGAAGCCCAACAAATATTACTGATGTGTAAAGCAAAATAATAGATTTGTAACGTGCTATGTCTTTGGTGGTTACTTGTAGGTAGAGTTTTGGCAGGTTTGCACTGCTCTCAATTTTATTGAAAATTAAAGAACATATGTTAAAATCTATTTAAAGGTGAAAATTTGAGTATTTAAAAATATTGAATAACAAATAATTTTATACATAGGGCCTTTTCTATATTTATCCTTCTATAAATTTACTGAGTAAACTCAAAACAACTGGGATAAAGTTATTTTCAAATTAAGAATTTTTTACACTTCCTCAAATTGTTTTCTGAAAGTTTTGACCAATTCATTTAGCACCAGCAAAAATGATGTTTAAGAGGAACTGGCATTGAAAGAATGTTGCTGTTTAAATATTTAGAACAATTAAACTATTTTTTGTACCAGAAAAGGAAGAAAAATGACTATTGTTTTTGAAAATAAATAATTGAATAAGCTGATCTAGAAAATGTTAAAAGCGATAGAATCAGGTGGAATATTGGTTCAAATTGAAGCATTACATAGACTTAGATCTCTAATTTCACAACATATAATTGAACAAATTTCAGATAAACTAAAGTGTTAAATGTAAACCATGAGATGATAAAACTGATAAACGATTGAAAGAAAGTATAAGTAAATAGTTATAACTTTCTAGTCACACACAGACAAGAAAGAGAGTTAGGTTAAATTATAGAAACATCATTTTTCTTGCTAATGTAAAGATTTTTATCAATAATAATCACATTAAAAGACTTTTATTTCATCACTAACCAAAGAAATACAAACTACTATATTAATGATATACATTTTCACCTACAGAATCAGTAAATATTTATAAGCCAAATGCAACCACACAGAGTTGGACAAAGTGTAGGAAAACAGGCATTCATTTACACGGACTTTTGGTTAATCTAAATCTTTCCCTTCTGGAAAATAATTTGTCAGTATGTAAATATCAAAACCAAATAATAAAAACATCTACTGATCCAACATTTCAAAATAATGTGAAAATGATGGGTTATTTCAAAAAAGAGGCTAAATAGTTGGAAAATAAAACAACAGAAAAATTCCAAGACAAAGAAACAAAAAAGTTCAAGGGATAGCTGGGTTCATACTCCACAACATTGTTTACAAAATGAGCATGTAACATAATTTTACAAAAATTATTTTTTCCTAAACTATCATTTAATACATTCTGAGTTGATTGTTGAAATTAGTGTTAAAAAGTTACATACATTTTTAACTTCTTGAGAGAAGGAAATAAACAAAAGTAATACTCAGTGATTTGAAGAATAAATTTAAAAATAAATTTTGTAGGGGCTTCCGGGAAGATGGCGGAAGAGTAAGACGCGGAGATCACCTTCCTCCCCACAGATACACCAGAAATACATCTACACGTGGAACAACTCCTACAGAACACCTACTGACCGCTGGCAGAAGACCTCAGACCTCCCAAAAGGCAAGAAACCTCCCACGTACCTGGGTAGGGCAAAAGAAAAAAGAATAAACAGAGACAAAAGAATAGGGACGGTACCTGCACCAGCGGGAGGGAGTTGTGAAGGAGGAAAAGTTTCCACACACTAGGAAGCCCCTTCGCGGGCGGAGACTGTGGGTGGCGGAGGTGGGGAGCTTCGGTGCCGCGGAGGAGAGCACAGCAACAGGGGTGCGGAGGGCAAAGCGGAGAGATTCCCGCACAGAGGATCGGTGCCGACCGGCACTCACCGGCCCGAGAGGCTTGTCTGCTCACCCGCCGGGGCGGGCGGGGCTGGGAGCTGAGGCTCGGACTTCGGTCGGAGCGCAGGGAGAGGACTGGGGTTGGCGGCGTGAACACAGCCTGAAGGGGGTTAGTGCGCCACGGCTGGCTGGGAGGGAGTGCGGGAAAGTCTGGAGCTGCTGAAGAAGCAGGAGACTTTTTCTTGCCTCTTTGTTCCTGGTGCGCGAGGAGAGGGGATTCAGGGCGCCGCTTAAAGGAGCTCCAGGGACGGGCGCGAGCCGCGGCTAAAAGCGCGGACCCCAGAGACGGGCATGAGACGCTAAGGCTGCTGCTGCCGCCACCAAGAAGCCTGTGTGCGAGCACAGGTCACTCTCCACACCCCTCTTCCGGGGAGCCTGTGCAGCCCGCCACTGCCAGGGTCCCGGGATCCAGGAACAACTTCCCGAGGAGAATGCACGGCGCGCCTCAGGCTGGTGCAACGTCATGCTGACCTCTGCCGCCGCAGGCCCGCCCCGCACTCCGTGCCCCTCCCTCCCCTCCTGAGTGAGCCGAGCCCTCGAATCAGCGGCTCCTTTAACCCCGTCCTGTCTGAGCAAAGAACAGACGCCCTCAGGCGACCTACACGCAGAGGCGGGGCCAAATCCAAAGCTGAGTGCCCGGGAGCTGTGAGAACAAAGAAGGGAAAGGGAAATCTCTCCCAGCAGCCGCAGAAGCAGCGGATTAAAGCTCCACAATCAACTTCATGTCTGTGGAATACATGAATACACAACGAATCATCCCAAATTGAGGAGGTGGACTTTGAGAGCAAGATTTATGCTGTATAGCTTTGCTTCCACCATTTGTCCTAGGGTTCTATCCGTCCGTTGTTTTTTTGTTTTTATTTTTTTTCTTAATAATGATTTTTTATTTTAATAACTTTATTATATTTTATCTTTATTTTATTTTACTTTATCTTCTTTCTTTTTTTCCTTCCTTCCCTCCTTCCTTCCTCCCTTCCTTCCTTCCTCCCTTCCTTCCTCCCTTCCTTCCTCCCTTTCTTTCATTCTTTCTTTCTACTTCTACTAATTCTTTCTTTCTACTTTTTTTCCCTTTTATTCTGAACCGTGTGGATGAAAGGCTCTTGGTGCTGCAGCCAGGAGTCAGTGCTGTGCCTCTGAGGTGGGAGAGCCAACTTCAGGACACTGGTCCACAAGAGACCTCCCAGCTCCACATAATATCAAACGGCAAAAATCTCCCAGAGATCTCCATCTCAACACAAGCACCCAGCTTCACTCAACGACCAGCAAGCTACAATGCTGGACATCCTATGCCAAACAACTAGCAAGACAGGAGCACAACACCACCCATTAGCAGAGAGGCTGCCTAAAATCATAATAAGGCCACAGACACCCCAAAACACACCACCAGACGTGGACCTGCCCAACAGAAAGACAAGATCCAGCCTCATCCACCAGAACACAGGCACTAGTCCCCTCCACCAGGAAGCCTACACAACCCACTGAACCAACCTTAGCCACTGGGGACAGACACCAAAAACAACGGGAACTACGAGCCTGCAGCCTGCAAAAAGGAGACCCCAAACACAGTAAGATAAGCAAAATGAGAAGACAGAAAAACACACAGCAGAAGGAGCAAGATAAAAGCCCACCAGACCTAACAAATGAAGAGGAAATAGGCAGTCTACCTGAAAAAGAATTCAGAATAATGATAGTAAAGATGATCCAAAATCTTGGAAATAGAATAGACAAAATGCAAGAAACATTTAACAAGGACCTAGAAGAACTAAAGATGAAACAAACAACGATGAACAACACAATAAATGAAATTAAAAATACTCTAGATGGGATCAATAGCAGAATAACTGAGGCAGAAGAACGGATAAGTGAACTGGAAGATAAAATAGTGGAAATAACTACTGC